GCAAAGCTGAACAATAAACCTTTGTTTATAAAATACTGTAACATTATTACAGTTTATACTAAATATATTTAAAAGTGGAAGATAGGGCCACACATAGGGCAACTGTCTTTCTTCCTATCCTCTGTGCTACCTATTAGACAGTGTCCAATCTAAGTGATTACCCCCTCTTCCATAGAAGTGAATGATTCTGGCTGACATCTATAGGAAAAGCTTTTAGGTCCACAATGTAAAAGAGGCAAACTTTGCCTCTTGGAGCAAATACTGACAACCCTTTACTTTCATCCATGAAAGTGACATAATACCCATTAAGTGGTATGGGAGAAAGTAAATAAAGCTTGGTGGGCACATACTAAGGTATAATGTAAGTAGTTCATTTTGGTTAAAACATGTAGGATGCCGTCTGTATTCTAGCTATTACATTGTGCTCAACAGTATTTTATCTCTCAGTTACACTGATTGGGAGTACTCTGATTGTGAAGATAGAACGTGAAAACCATCATTTCTGTTTTGAATGAACTGTACAATATTTCAAATGTATTTAAGTGCTGCACCAAAGAGTGACGAGCCTGTTTCCAAAGGCTTGCAGTCTAGACACTGGCAAGATAAGAGGATGTGAAGGAGGGCAGAGAGAATATAAGGGCATGTAAAGTAAAATTAAGATTGCATGTTGTGTAATATATGTAAACCACCTTGAGAATTTTGTTATAAACGGAAAAGTGGGTTAGAAATATTTTGTAAATAAATACATGCTTATGGAATTTTTTTTTAAAGAGAGAGATTGGAAAATAAATACAAAAGCTGTAGAAAGGAATATGGTAATTTGTTAGAAACACAGTTCTTGACTGTAATTTTGATGACAAATACTTTCTCAGAGCAGAGATATACTTTTCATAGAGCCCATATTTGTAGGAATAGTTTATGTATCTGCTTCTCTCTTGACTGAACACATACAACATGACCTGAAAAGTAGGTTATACTGAGCTCTCTGCATGTATCCGTTATATTCTAATTGCACCCTTACTCTGTTATCTAGAATATAATCATATCTCACAGCCATTCTCATAGCAACAGGCATAGTTTCAGAGCTGAAGTACTGAAACACTTCATCCGAAAAGACTGGCAGCAAGTCAAAATGATACATTTTAGGTTTGGTTTTTTTTAAAAAAATAAATTAGCTGTTACAATTACTCTTCACAACCTCTAACATAAGTGCTTTAGGCTCATAGTTCTAGAAATGAAATTTAGTGATTCAAATGCAAGACCACTGTTTAAAAACCAGCATATTTGCCATTTTATTTTTTCACCAGACTTGTTTGTGTTATGTCAAACGGCCCTTTGTAGTACAGCGTGTTCCCTTTGCCAATGTTCTCTCCCTCACCTCCTCATTTTCCAAATCTGGTGTGACACCAGGTGTTATCTTTTCTCCTCCCGCCCTTCCTGAATTTGCTCTCATCTGGTTAATTTCTTAGCGGTGTCCAAGTACAATGTGAAAAAACAAAACTCATTTAGTAGGCTTCAGGACGTGTTGTAAACCTGCAGGCGCAAGCCCTAGTGCTTACCAAAACCTACAGCTATAGTTGCCCAATGCTTCCTGTTAGACCAGGCTCAGCTCTCAGTTACTTAGAATTGTGGCAAATTCTAACCTCTTGGCTTGATGGGCCGAGTGAAAGAAGGAAGTCAAGACAGCAGTAAGCAGGGGGATGGGAGTCTGGAGCATGAGAGGTCTATCAGATTTCAGGATATGGAGCTGCAGGACATGGGAGGGAATTTCACAGGAAGGAGTTTGCAGAGGTGACACAGGAGCAAAAGGACTGACTGCCGATACCAGATCATATTGATTGCAAGATATGCAGAAGAGAAGACAGAGATGCAGATACCCCACATCAGATTTCAGATTATGAACCGAGATATTTTTTAGGGTGTGGTAATATGGGTATTTGGCATGGTCTAAACTAGATGTCCTCTAAGGCCCCTTCAAATACTGACATTCCATGAGAATATTTCTATTATGCTTCACAAAACTTCGAGCACTATCATCCACAAAATATGGAATGCGATATTTTTCATATGCTAAAGAGATTTGTACATCTGACACAAATAGGAACCATTTAATTGTTTACAACAGTAGGTATTCAGTGCTCAGAACGCATTAACCAACATGGTGCCTGCCAAATGGTTTGTATTTCAACACGCATCAGTCCCAGCTGGCATGGCCAGTGGTTAGCCATCGTGCAGCAATTCCATCTGTTTTCTCTTGATGGATTGTCTACACTACAGTAAGATGAAAGATGGTGGGAAAACGTGGGGGAATTACAAGGAGAAACTCTGGTCATCAGGTCCTGTTGTAGAATTGTGCGAAAGAAACGAGGCACTGGTGCTGAAAATGCCTTATCCGGAATCACCTAAATCTGAAGTTAATTCTGTTGTGGAGAAGGGATTGCATGGTCTTGAGCTTGATTTCCAGTATGTTAATCAGGAGCTGGAGCTATGCTTCTGTTATTGAACCTTTACATACTTGGTTTTCAATTTAAGCTTGACCAACTAAGTATAGGAGCCTAATTAATATGATGCTGAAGAGGTATTAATGTTCAACAAGCAGATATTTAGGCAACTTGTTACTAAAGTAATAATATTATGTAGGAATACAGGGTGCTTTTCTTATTGCTGAAATGTTTGCATAATACATGATGCTTTTCAGTAGTCTTGACAAAAACACTCATTATCTCTTTGCTGCTGACAGTGGCTTTTGTTGTATTGCTATCTGAAGGCATGCAGAATTAGGCTGTGAATGAAAGATGAGAAATTCGAAGTCCTGGCCTTCACTGTTGGTTTCATCAGTAGCAGTTGCAAAGGAATTTTGCAGTCTCTCGCTCTGGATCTTGTACAGTAGCACGCTTAAATGTATTGCAGAAAGAATACTTATTTATTGCTGGTTTAGATCTAGTAGGTTTCTGAGAAGGCCTTTTGCCAGAGCTTTTGGATTTTTCTGTGCATATTTTGGAAGGGTGATATTTTAAGAATTGCTACAAGTGGCTTTTGTTGTTAAATGTAGTATATTTTACAAATGTGGAAGATAAACTTTTGGATTTCCAGTTTTTCCCCCAAAACATTTGTATTCAAATTTATATCTACATTGTGGGAAAGGGGAGGGTGTTATTTTGGGTAATTGTGACATTTGCCTTAACTCTGTTGTTCTGGAAAGTGCTATGTTCTTTGTTCAGACTGTCAGGTTCAAGAACAGCCGTCCCCACCTGGTGCCAACCTGATGTGTTGAACTATGTTCACAGTTATCCCTTATGGTGCTAGGGATGATGGGAACTGAGTAGAATAGGATACAAAGATGATTAAACAAAATAATTCCTGCCATTCACTCCTAAGTGAGAGAAAAATAGTAAACTATTGTAGCTTGTCATATACTTGGTTTTGTAAGTTTCAAGGAGGCAAAGGAAAGGAAGGTTTACTGAGACTTTTGTATGCTGTACTCAGTCATTACTTTAGGCAGTTTTACTTAGCTTAGGAAAAGATTCTAAAGAGTAACAGCTAGACCCTATGTACGTAAGAGAGTGAAATGATCAGACTCTGCAAATCTTTCCTGGAAAACATGGAATCCTGCAGCTCCATGCCTGCCCTCCCTAAGCAATTTCTACGCATTTTGTTCACATGAATTGAGTCCTGCAAGCTTTATCTGGGATCCCAGAGCTAAGTTGTTGGGTCACAAAAATCAGAATGGCTCTTAAAAGGTAGCTTTCTGCATTGTATGGACTCTTCCAAAAGAATGAGGTGTACTGAACTGAACTTCAGGTAGTGTAGTGAACTTTCCCAAAGTTTGAAGGTCAGGAAAGTTGACTGAAACAATGCCAAGTCCTCATGGACTTCACCTCAGTAGGCAGAGCACCAGAGATACTTGCCCAGAAGCTGGCTTCCTCAGGCATAAGGGCTGTTTCTGGGGTGAGAACAAGATTGTCTTGCTGAAGTGTCCCTCCCCTGTCTCTCAGAAAGAGAAGAGGAATTTGAACCTGTGTGTGTGTAATGACAGCTTTTGAAAAGGGGTGACAAGAACTTTATAAAATCCACAGGAAAAGGAGTTCTTGACTTGGGAGGAAGAATTGGCATGTTGCTTGCCTGGCAGCTTTGGAGGCCCATGGAGCATCTCCGGCCCATTCATGGAACCAATATGGCCACATAAACTCTGGGAAAGTTCACATACAGGGGTACCTTGGTTCACAAACGCCTCAGTTCATGACCAAATTGGGTTGCAAACAGAAATTTCATAAAAATTTTGACTCAGGTCGCAAACTCCGCATTGGGTGGCAACTGCAATCGCAGCCATCTCCCCACCCCACCACCCCAAGTGGGGAGATGGCCACTTAGCCATAAAGCTGGAGTGGGCAACCAGTGGGATGCATCCCCCCCACCCCACAACTCTGTGGTTTTCAACCTAAATTAAGTCTTGAGCTCTTTGGTGGTTTGGGCAGGGTCTCAGGAACAAATTACCAGATTCCCCCCCCCCCCCTGCTGTGGCCCTTGGGTGGGGGTGAGGAAGTGCAACTTGCCTCTTCTTCAGGCTGCCTAAAATTTCCCACCCTGCCATTGGGAGATTAGAAATACAGTCTCAACACTGGAGGTGGTTGGATTTATGCTCCCAGACACCCATGCACATATATGCATACATATTTGCAGAGGGCAAGGAGTTAGACGAATGACCCATCATATCTTTCCAGGTCTTTGCACCTATGAATGCCCCCTTCAAAAAAAAAAAAAAAAAAAAGATGCAGTGTATTAAAGGCTAAGTGTCATAGCTGTAAACCGGGAAGTTCCTGGTTCCAATATCACTGCAGGCATGAACACCGGATAGCTTGCGGGAAGTAGTTACAGGTCTGGTGAAAGTGTTATGAAGAAAATAAGTGTGAACAGTCTAAAGTAGGCATGGGCTGGTCTGGGAGCCAGACTGCTCTCCTGTGGACCAAGCCGATTGGTCAGATTAGGTCAAGGGGGCATGGCTCTTAACCATGACTCCCACCCCTCCTGTGGCATATTTTCTTCCTGCAGAGGGAATCCCAGAGCTTTCTTTATTTCTTTAAATGGAGAATGACAGTTGGCCAGTGCCATTTTCCCCCTTTAAGCCTCAGAACTGGATCTTGCAGGCATTTGCCAAATTGCTTGGAACAGCAAACCAATCATTTGGATCAATAGGGGGATTTCAATGCTATTGCTGATCAAAGTGATAGCCTTTCATGCTGCTCACCCTCACATTGGTGTTTTCCTCCCCATACTTCCTCTCCAACCTCCCAAGCAAGGATTGGAGCTTGAAGAGGAGATGGGAGGTGGGACCACAGAAGACCTCCAACCCTCTGTGGCTGGGTTGGGAATTTCTGTAGGCTGAATTAGGCCTGTGGGCTGAAGGTTCCCTGACCGTGCTCAAAAAGGTTATGTAAATTTTAAGTATTACAAAAGTGTTCAACCAGTTGTGTGTATGAAAAATCAAGATGAAATCCATTTTTATAAGGCATGTACAATTTTAAATAATGGTATGTGCAAGGGGGGATATAAGAACTCTTTTGTGCTTATGAGAAAAAAAATCAGGGTTAATATGCTCTTTGGCACTTCATTTCATATTGCTTTACTTGGAAAATAATTACAGAGGTTGCTGATGAATAGAGATAATGGAAATTTCTGTATGCAGTCTGCAGTTTTCCCAGCATCAAGGTCTATAAAATAAAAGGAGCTCTATAATAACTGACTAAGCATCTCTATTAAATATACACTTAATCCTTATAACTCATTAAAACATTAAAATCCATTGCAAACATGCTGGGTTGCAGTAAATAAATATTTTTAAGTAGTTTGTTCTCAGCTTAATTCTTTTATTCTTGTTCCCAAACATGTGAACTTTGAGGCATGGTTGTTATAAATAGCATTGCAGCATTCCCTGACTGATTCCTGGTGTTTTATACCAAAACATTTCATTTTTTAAAAAAAGTATCAATCAAAAATTGATAAGAGGACAATACTGTGGCCATTAGAAAGTTTCTAGGTAGCCATAGGATTATTTGGGTGACAGTTCTGGCCTTGGAAACATGTTCTAAGGTTGGAGATGGTTTTTTGAGCTCAGAGAGGTCTTTCCCCCTGAGCAGGCTGCTTCATCGTAGCTGTGAATGCAGCTTCACAGAAGAGGTTGAGTGGTGGTCTGGATGAAGGGGAGGAGTTATCCTGAGAGTGCCTCAGCCTCCTTCCCTTGTGCTGCTGTGCACAACACTTAAACAGCCACAATCATATGTCTCAATGTTTTACAGGGTGCATGGGATCCCATAGGATTGCTCCATAAATGCTCTGGGGCTTAAGGACTGCTTACTCACATATGGACTTGCCAAGATTTGAGATCAAATGATGTGACAGTGTAAGTGGTTTGAAGACTGAGCACGAGGGACTTGTCTTTTCTGGGATGGCATCACAGATCTGTGGCACCCAACTAAACTGCATCAGGCTCTTTTCAACAAAAATTTGAACAGTGTGTTAATGTTTGATCACGTCTAATCCTATACGTGTCAACTCAGAAGTTTGGAAGGTTCAGTTGAGTGAATATTATGGATTACATTCTGCTAATATTTATTCAACTAATATTTAATTCTGTCTGTTTTGGGTTTTTGTGGTCTTAAGTGTAGTTGTATGTTGACATTTATTTATATTCAATTTAAGTCACTCTGGGTATTAATAGAGATGAACAGAATATCAATACTAAATTATTAATAATGCCTACTGTTAAATACGGGCAACATCTCAGTTCTAAAATCACAGCAAAACATAATTTTTGTTATCTATTTTTTGAACTCAGAACAAAGACTGAACTTTCAGCTGTTTATTTTAACCATGGGTCCTCAAACTACTGCCCGCGGGCCAGATCCGGCCCGCCATGCCCGTTTATCAAGCCCTCCTCAGAAGTTTTGGACTTGCTGCGCATGTGTGCAGGGTGAGGCAACGGCTTGCTCATGTGGAGATTGTTTTGGACTCGCTCGGAGAAAATGATCTCCGTGCAAGCAAGCCGCTGCCTTGCCGTGCCCCCCGCCCCACATGCGCGCCTGCCCCCTCAGCAGCCTGTGCCCCCTGCTGGCACCACCTTGCCAGCCCATGCCCACCACTGGCACCTTTCACCTGGCCCCCTGTTGAAAAAGTTTGAGGACCCCTGATTTAAACCATGATTTAGAGTAGCTTGCCTGTTTTTGTTTCTCAGTAGCTCAGCACTTTTGCTTCCTGAAGCAGTTGGCCTCCCGGGGCAGAGAAACAGCCATAATTGTGGCTTAATTCATACATTGAACAAAACCACAGCACAAAGCCATGCTTTCAAGTAATAATGATAGTACCAATGATGATAATAAATTATATCAAACCATGTTTTCTGGTTTGCTGGTTCAGACATTACATGAATTATTGTTAATCTTTTTTAACCATGGCATGTGGTATAAGGTCTGAAGTGAGTTTGTTTGCTTACATAGACTTTCAGTGGAATTTTTGATACCTAATGCATTGACTGTAGTTTTTATACTAATTAGCAGGAATTTTGAGCAGGGGAGTCAAAAATCGTTCTTTTTCGAAATCATCCTGAAATTTATTTAGTGGTTGGCTTTAGTGAACCAGCATTTTCTTAATTCTAGTTCTTTATCTCTAATATGGCAGTAATGGACTGCCATGCAGGGTTGTTGTAAGAATCACTGATATGTAGTATGAAAATATGACAAAATTGGTGTGCATTGTATTTCAGAACTACTTAAAACCAATTAGGTTTCATTCATTCTCATGCTAAAACCATAATAGGGGCCTCTGAAAATAAGGCACCACCCCTAGGGTGTGACTTTAAACTTATCAATCGTAATTAGACATAAAATAATGTGACCCTCAGTAGGGAAAGCAAATAAAATATTTACTAGGCTTTTATTTGCATTAATGCATTCATTTGCTATAATGCAGTTTGCATTTGGTGTCTCACATCTTCATACAATGAGTAAAAGAATAAAAGCACCATTACATGTGCAACAACAGTAGGCCCAGTAAAAGGTTTGAGGGCACCTGAAGCATCAGCATTACTGGATTGCTGAAACTGTACAAATGTGGAATGAATCAGTTCCCTGGCTGGATGATAATTTAGAATCCCATGTAAGTACAGGAAATAAAATCTGTCTATGTAGTTTGTTCTTGTTATGTTTTGTTTAAATCTGGGTCAGTAATAACCAGGAAGACTGCAATTTTCTGTGCACTTGCCTGAACATAAGTCCAATTTAAGATCTAAATAGTGAAGGATTTTTTTTTAATTTTTTTTTTTGCCTTTTTGGTTGCAGGTGGTGGCAGTAGATCTAGATCTAACTTTTTCTGCTGTTTGTACTCATAGAGGTTTTGGTTTTGGTTTTGGTTGCCTTTACATTTATAATGAGCAAGAAAAACTGCTCCATGTTATTTCAAGAAGTTCAACTCAATTTTTAGTATGCTTTGTGAGTGTCCATATTTGTAAAAATGCTACACATATAATTTCCTATTCATACTTTTGAAGTAGCTTTTTGTACTCTAATGATCCTACACATAAAGTGTACTCCCAAATATTTACATGCTGGTATCTTTTAAATAGCCTTGTGCCTGTGCTTCCCCCATCCTCTTAATCCATTGGGAAAGTACAAGGTGGTTGAGTTTCCTCTTTTTCTGTCCAGATGTTCAGGCCAGGTTTCACATGAACCAGACGTTAAAAGTGTTCCTGGGAGACTATCCTGTGGAAGAAGAACTTCCTACATCTATCAAACTAACATACTGGGGAGAAGACTAAGTTAGAATGCCTCCTTCTTGCATGCAATTTTTATGTACAGCTTTTTTTAATGGGGCACCTTCAATTATGCAATATCTACTTGCATTCTTATGTAGCTCAGTCCAGGAATAGTTGCACTGCTTCCTATGTTCGTGTCAGTTATGACTAATATAAATCTATTTCAAACTATATTTTGAAAACTATTGCCAACTGAAAGGTGTTACATGGGGCCCTTTGCAGGTAAAAATTGGTATCATGAACAGTACTTGGCATTGTATTATCATTATTTAATTTCTATACTGCTCGTAATTGAAGCTGTCTAGGCAGTTTACAACAATGTATCAATGTAAATTGCATGGGAAGGAAATAATGAAAGCAGTTACTAATATGAATAATGGAAAATCACTATGTATTGATTTCTCATTAAGTAATATAAAACAGTTTCAGCTTTTCTGTCTTTATATTGTTTTACTTGGGCTCCCTTTCTTAATCATTAAATGATGTTTTTATTATGGTGCTTCCTAAACCTGGCAAGGATCATACTTAGTGTGATATCTATCAACCTATTTCATTAAGTAATGTGGATATTAAAATATTAACTGCTATTCTGGTTGATAGATTGCTGCAACTTATTACAACATTGGTTCAACCACACCAGGTGGAATTTATTAAACATTGTATCCAATCCTTTCTGTCTAGTATTTCAGGCAAAAACAATAGTAACTACTCTTGAACTGCAAAAGCCATAAACAGACAATTCTTTAGCATACAGCAAGATTTTTGCTGCGTGTTGTCTTCAGAAGCTGCTTTTGCTGTTGCCTGACCTAAGAAGTCTCTGCTGAGTTAACAGTTTTCAACAGGATGAGCTGCCAGTCATCTCTGTGCTGTAACTCTACATTTTGCAGATTTTGTGCAAACACCGATCGGAGGGGGAAAAAAAGGTTTTTTGAACCCTGCAAAATGAAAGTATGTCCATGGAAACACTCAAACCTTGTTGTAACAGTTCTTCCAAAATTAAATTACTGCTGTTTGGTCAAAATGCACAAAAGGTTTTTTGCTATTGCTCTTGATCAACTAACAATAGCTATCACAGGAAAGGTGTAATTAAATGAATTAGTGGCAGCTCTCTTTTGGTCGTTCCCATGAGGCTTCACCAACTGGATTTATTGCAAGAGGAACACTTTGTGTTTATGTATCACCACAGAAAGAAAATGTGCTTCCTGCAATATTTGCCAGAAATTGCCTAATCAGGCAAATTATCTGTAGTAATTGAGGACAGCAAATGCATTTAAAGATATGGTGATGTCTTATTAACACTAATTCTATTCAGGTGGCTTTTGTTAATCTGATTTGAGGGGACAGTGGGGCTGCACCTGCTGGTTCCACTCCTGTCATCTGCACATCAGCAGAACTTGTAAGAACTAGTGAGTAGGGCCCACCTCAATTTTATGGAACCCTGATTATCCAGGTTCCACTCTATGGTTCCCCTCACCCAATATGTGGCCAGTGGGAGTGGGTCACTGACCATAGACCTGCTCTCGCTCCGCATTACTTGTGATCATTAATTGCATGAGGGGATTGCCCAAAGAGGGCTACTGAATCAGAGCATTGTCACACTTTACTTCAGCATATAGTGGGAGTGACTCTGACAGAGGGTATAGATCCTGTCAATCTCCTTAGCTTTAGCAGGAACATAGGCACTTCCGGTATCTCTGAAGAAGATACCTTCAACAGCAGTGGATTTTGAGGAGTCCACCAATATTGTGCCAAAGGAGGAGACCATGCATCCTCTCTGCCTTGGACTGCACCAGCTGCAGAAGGTGGAGTCACGGGCTTCTGTCAGAGAGCACTAGCTGCTGGAACAACATCTTTCTGTTACCTCCAGTGTTTTAAGTTTCTGCTTCCATCACCCTGCTTCATGACTGATCCTTTTTGTTGCTGACCTTTAGACTTCTGGTATACTGTGCACTTTGGACTGCATTTCTGTTGGACTGCTTACCTGTGCTTTGACCTTGGCAGTGCCTTAAAAAAGGTAAAGGAGTCCCTGCAGATTTAACTTTGCCTAGCCAGTGGCCAATAGGGGGTAGTGCTCATCCCTGTTTCTAAAGCTGTGAACTAGTGCTGTCCAAAGACAACCCTGCTGTCATGTGACTAGCATGATGTCATGGAGCACTGCTACCTTCTTACCAAGGTGGTACCTATTTATCTACTCACATTACATGCTTTTGAACTGCTAGGCTGCCTAGGAGCTAGGGGCGAACAACAGGAGCTTACTCATTCTGGTGGAGGCTGGGCTTGAACCACTGGAGTGCTAACTATTTCTGGCTGACAGTTCCAGCATCATTAAGCCACTGAGCCACCACTTCCCCCAGTAAGACAGTACCTTAGACCCCCCCCCTTTTTTTATTTCTCTTCCTTCATTATGGCATTATGTTCTTGACCATTGCCTGCCTATCTGTTGACTTCTGCTTTGAACTGCTTTCTTCCTGGAATGAGCAAGACCTTTTGCTTGCCTTAACATTGGATTTGCCTCATTATTTGGCCCCAGGGCTGAGCCTGATTCAGCCATAACTGGATATCATTGCTCAGCTTAAGCTGTGTTGTCTGTTCCA